TAATGGGTGAGGCTGTGTCCCCACCATTTTGGTTGGTTAGCCTGTGACATCTCAGAATTGGAGCCTATAGGCTGCTGTGTGGGGCCAGGTCATGGTGAAAAAAAATGATGGCCTTTAGGAGGGCTCACAGCAGTGAGAACTCCCCAGAACTACTGCCACCAGTGTCTCTGTCCCCACAGTAAGTCACAGCTGCCCCCCAACCTTGCAAGAGACCCTCTAATACCAGCAGGCTCTCATGAGTTCACTGCCTTTTCCCCTGGGTCTTGGTGTGCACAGGACTCTACAAGTGCCCTCTAAGAGTGGAGCTTCTGTTTTCCCCAGTTCTGCAATCAAACCCTGCTGACCTTGAAAGTCAGATGTTCTGGAGGCTTCTCCTCCCATTGACAGACCCCCAGGCTGGGGAGCCTGATGCGAGGCTCAGAACTTTCATTCCTTTCATTCCTGTGGCAGAACCTCTGCAATATAATTACTTTCCAATGTGTGGGTTTCCCACCCAGCAGGTATTGGATTTGATTTTATCGCATTTGCATCCCTCTTACTGTCTTTTTATGGGTTCTTTGTCTTTGGACCTACGGTATCTTTTTCGGTAGGTTCCTTTTTCGTTGATGGCTTTTAGCAGTTAGTTGTGATTTTGGTGTTTTTGTGAGATGCGGGGAAGCTCACTAGCTTCTACTTTGCCATCTCCTGAGAGTCTCTGCACCCTTACCATTTTGAATAATGCCTGCCACACAGAAGGTACTCAAAGAATACAGGTTAGGTGAAAGAAATAATGAATAGTTACATCTTCAGAGAAAAAGGGTAAAGAAGTTATCTCAGACTTTAAGGCACGGAGGCATGTGAGGCACACATGCTATAGCATTTAACAGCTTTGGGATTCCATTAACAGACTCAGAAAGTCCACCACTGGAAACATTCTGCAGTGAGGTGATCACTGAATGTTCCCAAAGTGTGTGACTTTCTTGCCAGGTGCTTTCAGAAAGGCTTCAAGTCAGAGGCCATTATACAAAGAGTAGGACTGACTACCCCTTCCACAATAATAATGGTAATCCTAGCTGCCACAGACTGACTAAGCTATCAATCCTGTAGTAGGACAGTTAGGGCCTGTGGGCCAGAGTCAGACAACAGGGCTTTTGATTTCTGTCTCCACTATCCTACTGCTTGAAGCCTCAGTTTACCCACCTGTAAAATGGGGCTAGTAACAGCACACCCTTCAAAGAACCCTTGGTAAATGGTATGAATTGTTCCATAATGCTATTGCTTATGTAATGGTAGCTGTTGTTTCTTGGTTGCCTTCTTCATCTGGACCAAACCTACTTCCACCAGAAAGCCTTTCATTTTTGACCACCTTATACACTTATGACAATCCATTTCTTGAGCTCCTGGGTGGAATCTGGTTAGGTACGGGAGCTGGACCAGCTCGCTTCCAGAGGGTGCTCTTACTACGTCTGCACGTTCTCACCTAAGAGGAATGCGGCTTCTCCATGTCACGCTTTCTCTTGCTCATGTTCCCTCTGTGCCTCTTGCACAGAGAAGACACTTCTGAGGCTCACTGCTCCTGCAAGCGCTCATTTAAACCTCTTTGCCTGACCCTGATGTCACCCTATCTTTAGCCGACCTGGGCACTCAGTCTGGCGCCCTGCCTCGCCTGCAGAAAAGTCTCCTTCAGTGCTCCAGGTCTGACAAGCAGCACAAGCCAAAGCCCAGCGCTGAGTCCTGTGGTGAGCGCAGGAAAAGCAGGCAGCGCCTGGACACCCAGGCCAGAAGTTTGGGCTCAGCCTGAGAACAGAATGGAGTCCTGTCCTCCAGGCAGGGAAGCTGGGGTTTCACAGTCTCCCCTGCAAGAGAGCCCCTTGACGCCTAGGCTCCTGCTTCATTCAGTCAGGGGTCCAGCTCCTCAGAGTAACTGGGAGGGAATATCAGTGGATCTATTTTGTGAAATAAAATATCAATCTATAACTCACCACACTGAAGTAAGCATTTTCCACATTTCCGTTTCTGAAATGAGACTGTCCATGAGAAAAAATAGTAATTTCTTATGTTGTATTTCAAGTTATACAAAGAAGTTTAAGCTTCAGGAACACCTTTTATATCCTTCCCTCTGTATAAATTAAAGCCTAAGATCCACTAGAGTGGTATTAGCTATTTTATGTGTAAAGAAAGAAATGTGTCTGAAAGTGCAAATTTTTAAAAAGGAGAGGGGGGAAAAAAGCCTGTTTCATCAGTGGACAGTAAGCTTCTTTACGGAAATCTGTGTTTGTACAACAGGGAAGTGGTAACACATCCTAACTCCCCTTAGAAGGTCCTAGCTTTAAAGTACCTTCTAAGAAGCTCTTTAAATATAAAAGTCACTGAAATTAAGATTAGGCTGAAAATCTGCCTTTACAGTTTTTGAGACACACATACATGCAAAAAAAAAAAGAAAAAAGAAAATAATAATACTTTTAAAAGTAGGCAAAAGAAAGGGGTTACTAACACATGAGTTCACACACTTAGTCAAGAGAAGGGCTGTCTGCTGGACCAAAGTGAGGACAGACAAATTACTTTGATTTTTGCAGCCTGATGGGAGAAACAGTACTGTGGGCTTAAGATCAAACAAAATGAGAACTGGGATGCCTCTTTTCCGGTTCCCCAAAGCCGCCTGTTCTTACCCTAAAGGTTATGAGGCTTACTGAACAAATAGGACCCTGTTCCTTCCTTGGGAAACCTTGTTTACACTGTGTCCATTTTTAGATCTTGTAAAAGCTGGTGAAGTTGGCTCTTCCCCACTAGCCAGAATCCTTCCACACTCAGCAAATATCAACAGGAAAGGGCTTCGGTCATCGATAACTACGGAAGCAGGGAGCTCGGATCAGGCCTTGAGACGCTGGCGCCACTAGCAGGGGACGCAGAGACAGCCCCCAGCCTACGTTCAGAGAATGGCGGGCCTTTGTGAAGGGTCAGAGAGGCACCAGACTCTAGGCGGGCTCATCCTGACAGCGCCGGCAGCACTGCCTCCTCTTACACAATCCACACGGGTCCGCTCTAAGGGCCCATTTTGGGGCTGTCAGAGCTTCCAGCAGGAGATGGTTCTGAGACTGAGACTTGGTGAAACAAACTTCACTGTGCAAGGGAAGATCCAGTTACTTTTGGAAACGCTGTGGGGGAAGACATCACATGCAGAAACCGGAAAATGACCTGTTAGCCAGACAGGAAGTGCTATGTCCTGTGAAGGGACCCAGGGGCATGGGTGATGGGACAGCAAGGCGCCCAGCCTAGCCCGTCCTGGAGAGTCGGCTAAAGCAGTTCTCAGCAGGAGGAATGACCAGAGCCAGCAATGCTGACAACCTAACCCACCTGGAGCAAACCCACTGGAGTGTCTGGCCCAGTGACCAAAGCTGACCTATGTGACAAGACAAATACTGACAGTATTGAATATCCACGGAGTAAAATGCCCGCAGCCACAACCCCATACTCATGTAAACACAGAGTAAAATGAGTAAATAACAGGGGCTGGCGAGAGAAAGGACAGATATTTCCCGGGCATCTACGAATAAACGTAGAAGGGATAATAAAAATAGAAAATCACCATTAAGCAAACATTACAGTAATAATCATTGTCTGTAAGAACTATTAATTGACTCTAAAAATCAGCAGGTAAAATTATAATTAAAAAACAGGTCTAGTCTCCTTATTAAACAGGTGTTTAGGAGAAACAGGTCAAAGTGGCTTCCCACAAGATATGTATTCATTACAAATGGAAAAGGTAGTATCTTCACAGGGAGAAGGCTGGAGCCACCCTCACCATGTGATAAGACTGGACAGCACACTGGCGTGCCAACTGCATGCGACACCGAGGGCACATCATTTCTGTGGTATTCCTGCCTGGAAATGCACAATCCCAATGTAACCACGAGAAGACATCAGAGAAACCCACAGTGAGAGGCTGTTTATAAAATAGCTGGTCTGAATTCTTGCCAAGGTCATGAAAGAAACAGACTGAGTGACCATCACACGTTGAAGGAGACTGAGGTGGCCTGGACCATAAGGTAATGTGGAATCCTGGAGTGACTCCTGCTCCCCAATTCTGGGGACTTGGAAATACAAGTCAGTCCTAGAGATTAAGTAAGTATGTGGTACCGATGTCAGCGTCCCGTCTTTCACAGCTGTGCTTGGTTTAGGTAAGATGTTAACGGAGGGGAAGCCGGGTGAGGAGCATGTGGGCACTCCCTGAACTGCTCACGCAATGATTCTGTCAGTCTAAAACTATTATGAAACAAAGCATTAAACATAAAATTAGAGTGAGCTTGACTTGACTTAGCATCCAGCCAGGCCCAGGTTAGGATATATAAACTAAGGTGAGACCTCCAATCCTGACAGTAACCACTGAGAGGAGGCTCAGAAAAGGATGGGGTGATGTAGACATCAGCCATTCCCATCTCTAGGAAGATACGGGGACAGCGCTCTCTAAATATGACATCCCCGGTACCGCTGAAGGATGCTGCATTCCTCAATAACCTGTCTTCTCTAGATTTTTCAAAACCTAGACAAACCCGTCAAACCCTTCTGCTTGTTTTGTCCAGCAAAGGAAAGTTATGTCCATAAAAGTAAGTTTTGAGTCAAATCTATTTTCTGGACCTCATAATTCTGAAAAACCTTAAAATAAAAAAAAAAAAAGAAAAAAATCAGATAATTTTCTAAATCATGGTTCTTGTTTGATAAGCAGAAATGAATTTTTATAAATATTATTAGTGTTCCTCTCTTGCCAGATTTGTAGATACCAGTGGAGAGATGGGTCTGGAGAAAAGTAATTATATACTTCAGGAAAGGAGATAAAATGCTTTATGCTCCGAACCTGGCTTTCAGCTACAGAACCAAGGCTTTTTAGCACAATTAGTGATTCCACATCACGCTGGAGTATCTGTGTCCTACCAGATCTCAAACAGCTCCTCTGCACCCCTGCACCCGTGCTGAAGCAATGAGCACACCGTCTGAAGGTGCCCAGGACGGTGGTCCGCGCCTACCTCCCACTGCGTTGCAGCGAGACGTCATCTCCCAGAGCACCAGGGCCATGGAGTAGACATCCGTCTGCTTGAAGGATTCGACATTCTCCAGATTCATCCTGGACTCGAGGACCTCTGGAGCCATGTACCTCGCCGTTCCCACCTGAGGAAGAGCACACACAGCCCGTCACTGCACTCTCGCTGCAGGTCTGCTTCCAAACACAGCCGACGCTTGGCCCCTACTGAGCAGTCAGTGCATCTTTAAAAAGCATGGTGCTGTTTAAGATAATGAGACCTGCACAGAAAGGCAGAGCTTATGTAACTTTTTGAAAAACAGGTTGTCTCTCCCTGAAAAACCTTGAAAGAACATAAAGGACAAATGCCAAAATAAGGAAATGGCAAAGCCCAGAGCTGCTGTGTCTAGGCTCAGGACACAAGACCATCAAACCACGTGTGCAGTGACGTCCTTGCAGAGAACCTGAGACCACACTGGTGACTGATACTGTCAGTGCTTTTCCAAATTAAGTATCTTTTCATTCTTGAAACTCCAAGATATGAGGTGAAAGTAATAATTGCCTGGATTCTTTTTGTCCCCTGAGGGTTGCATTAATCTTCTTTGTTCACCCCACGGCACGTTCTAGGTGCAGAGGATGTCATACAATTACATAAAAGCTCTGCTAAGTGGAACTGTATGAAAGCATTTCCATTACAAGCTCAAACCTGGTCATTTTATCATTTTGATAGGCATGCTGTGTGATTTTTATCTGACAGTATGAAAACACTGTGATACATAGGAAAAAAGAAAAAAATATTTCTAAGGAAAAAAATCATTTGAGTGAGTGATAATGCAGCTTGTATAGACTGACTAAATAACAGCAAGTCCTACCTTCCCAAGGATCCAGGGGAATGTCAAGTGAGTTGATAATATTACCCCCAAATAATGCTTTTTATTGTCATGCATTAGAAGAAAATTTTCTTTTTAATAAGTCCCTTCACGACTGGTCACCCTGGCACATTGATTCGTCCAAGTTCAGCGTGCTGAGCTCCTCACTGGATGTGCATGCCTACATCTGGAGGGCTGCCTGAGCAGTGACGAGATGCTCCAAAAGCACAACGCTCAGCCTGGTCAGAGGAGGCAACGGTGCTCCCAAGACTTTACTCCCAGTCACAGCCAAGCTTCTGGTGTGTGAAACATGGGGCCCATCTTTTATAAAGGATGACAGTAATGCTGTGTGTGCATGTGCTAAAGTCGCTCCAGCTGTTTCTGCCTCTTGCAACCCCATGGACTGAAGCCCCCCAGGCTGCTCTGTCCATGGGATTCTCCAGGCAAGAATACTGGAGTGAGTTGCCATTTCCTCCTCTAGGGATCTTCCCGACCCAGGGACTGAACCCGAGTCTCTTTCTCCTGCACTGACAGGTGGGTTCTTTACCACTAGCGCCACCTGGGAAGCCCAACTGAATGTTAGTCAGTTTCTAATAGCTCCTTAGCCAAAAGAGTTTCCGTTTTAATCTGTGAGATGTTTCAAAAGAAGAACTCTCCCTTCACCCAGTCCATCACTCACTCTATAGATACTTATAGGTCTCTTTGCCTGTTCAAGGCCTTGTGTTGGATGTGACCAAATGTATGTGGATTTGGACTTCAAGGAGATTGCCTTCTAAAACGGTAAAAAAAAAAAAAAGAAAAAAAAAAAAGAAGCAATATAAGGACTATAAGTACAGAGCAGAAAGAGGCTGAGTACAACCCTAAGGAAAAAGAGATACAAGCAGTGCTTGAAGCAAAGAAAAAACTGTCTAACTGGACGAGAAATGAGGATTGACTCAAGGAGAGAGTGGCTGTCCTGGATTGGGAAGGGTTTGAGCGCCAGGGAGAGAAGGGCAGTTGGCTGGCGGAGGCGCCCTGGCAGGAGAGCAGGCACTTCCCGGGCTGCGTGGATCCCCTGGACGAGGTCGGAGTGCAGGGCGGACGGAGCACGAGCGGGAGGGGCGCCAGCAGCGAGGGGCAGGGCCGCCCTACCTGCCCGCTGTTGGCCAGGTCATCCACAGACAGCGTGGGGTCCAGCCGCAGGGAGAGCCCGAAGTCGCAGAGGCAGCAGGTGAGGTCGCCCTTGACCAGGATGTTGGAGCTCTTGAGGTCCCGGTGCACGATGGGCATCTTGGGCCGGCCGCACAGGGTGTGGTCGCTGTGCAGGTGCGCGATGCCGCGGGCCAGCGAGCCGCCCAGCCGGCGCAGGTCCTCCCAGCTGATGACGTGGCGCGTCAGGTACTCCTGCAGGTTGCCCTTGGCGTGGAAGGCCGTGATGAGCCAGTACTGCTTGCCCAGCTCCGTCTTGCGCTCCTCGGCCGTCAGGAACTGCAGGATGTTCTCGTGCTTGAGGTTGATGTCTGAGAAGATGTCCTTCTCTGTCTTCCAGGAGGCATACTCCTCATAGGGGAAGATCTTGACGGCCACCGTCTCGAACTGCTCAGACGTGTTCTGCCTCAGCTTGGCCTTGTAGACCTCAGCAAAGCGCCCCTTGCCCACCAGGGTGTCCAGCTCGATGGGCAGCAGCTCCGTGTTGTGGTTGATGTTGTTGGCGCAGGTGGAGCTGATGTCGGAGCGGTCGTCCTCCAGGATGATGGCCAGGTGCTCGCTGAACTCCATCAGCTTGCGCGGCTTGCCCGAGTCCCAGGCTGGGCTCAGCTTCTGCTGCCGGTGCACGCGGTAGCAGTAGAAAGTGACGATGACTGCGATGGCAATGCCCAGCGGTGGCAGGAGGCTGACGCCTGTCACTTGGAAGATGACCAACAGCAAGTCGGGGTTACTGCTGGTGTACTCTGAAGGGGAGACAAAGAGAAGGAGCAGGTCAGTAGGTGTGCCCTGCGAAGAAGCGGTCCACACCCCAGGCACTGTGGGTTTTCCCATCAGCACAGTTTTTATGGACACGGAATGGTAAGTTTTTATTCCAGGCATGGATACTTGGGTGTGCTTGTCCATCTGGCCATCTAGTCAATGTCTTTTACTCTTCCCTCTAAACTTAGCTTGGAAATCAAAATTCACCATCAACCAATCAGAGAACTGAGAACAAGCTGATTACAAGCTGAGAACAAGGCCCTCCTCACGGGCCGTTAAAAATGCTTTGCTGACACTATTCACAATAGCCAGGATATACAAATAACCTAAATGTCCATCAACAGATGAATGGATAAAGACGTACATATACCATGGACTATTACTCAGCCATAAGAAAGAATGAAAAAATGCCACTGTCAGATACATGGATGGACCTAGAGATTACATACTAAGCGAAGACAAATATCATATAATATCACTTATATGTGAAATCTACAATACAGCACATTTGAACCTATCTACAAAACAGAAACAGACTCACAGACACAGACACAGACACAGGCTGATGGTTACCGAGAAGGGATGGGAGAGGGCTGCAGCACGAGTCTGGGCTAAGCAGATGCAAACGGTCATACACGGGGTGGGTAAACAAACTCCTACTGTAGCACAGGGAACTATGTTCAATACCCTGTGTCAAACCATAATGGAAAACGGTAGGAAAGAGAGTACACACACACATATATATGTATATATAACAGAGTCACTTTGCTATACGGAGTTAACATTGTAAATCAACTATACTTCAATAAAATTTTAAAAAACAGGAAGAAGGAAAACTTTGGTGATTGACTCTTGAAAACCTAAGTTCTTACTCACACTGGCAGGCTGCATGGAACGCAGGCTAGGTGGGGCTAGAGGCTGAAGTGTGATGGGACAGAACGGTTGCAGGAAAAGACTGAACTACAGGAGAAACAGAAACTCTGGTGGAGATATGGATGGTCCCTGTTACCCAGCAGAGAATGAGCCTCGAGATTAAGACTGAGGGGACAGATAAAATGATACTGACGCAGTATCAGCATCAGATACCGCAGCAGATGCTGCAGAAAATAACATTCCTCTCCTGTAACTCCACCTCTACCATCTGGACTATTCAATGGGAATGTTTTCAAGTGGACACCTGTCTGTAACAATAGAAGATGTCTTATAAATAAATGTGTTTGATTCTCTGCTTGTTCCTCCCATGAAAAAATAAATTCTACAGGGCTAAATCTAGGGGTACTGATCACCACTCTACTAAGCAGCTGGCGCAGGGCACTTAGATGCTCAGCAAATGTTTCCTGTAGAAGCTGGATGAATGATTAATGAGGCAACATCCCTCCCTTCTTGGATAAAGAGGATGTGGTACATATAGACAACAGAATACTACTCAGCCATAAAGAAGAACAAAATTCCATTTTTGCAGCAACATGGATGAAGCTAGAGATTATCACACTAAGTCAAGTCACAGAAAGACAAATACCATATGTTATCACTTACATATGGAATCTAAAATATGACATAAATGAACTTATCTATGAAGCAAACAGAATCACAGACATAACAAACAGACTTGTGTTTGCCTGTGGGAGGGCATTGGAGGAGAGAGAGATTGGGAGTTTGGGGTTAGCAGATGCAAACTAGTATGTATACGATGGATAAATAACAAAGTCCTACTATTTAGCACAGGAAACTATATTCAATATCCTATGATAAACCATAATGGAAAAGAATATGAAAAAGGGAATGTGTGTGTATATATATATATATATTCCTTTATATATGCATATTGGAATGTACATATATATGTGTATAACTGAGTTAATTTGCTGCACGGCAGAAATTAGCACCACATTGTAAACCAACTAGGCTTCAGTTTTAAAAACTCCCTCCCATTCTCCACGCTGTTCACAGGGGTCAGCAAACTATGGCCCCAGGGCACAGGGGCTGCTCTTGTCCAGCCTCAAGAGGGATGAATTTTCCATTTTTGAAGGGCTGTTTAAATTAAAAAAAAAAAAAGACACTAAGTAGTTCATACATCAGAGATCACATCTGGCCCTAAAACATGTTACTACCTGGCCCTTTACAGAAAAAGTCTGCTCACCTCCCTTCTCCTGCTGCTATTTTAACAACCTGCAACACACTGGTGAAATCTGAAGAGACATCACGTTGCTCCAATGTGAATATTCTTTTATGTTTGAGAAAGCAACTCAATGAAAAAGTTCTAAATATTAATTGCATAATTATTTAGCTGTGTGTCCAATTCATTAAAGGGGGTAAAACATCCAAATGAACTGTTCATGTATCACTGATAATTTTATTTTTCAATTCCTGTCCATTTATGAAAAACAGTATTCCTTTCTGATTTCTAGTCTTTTTCAAGTTAAAGGAAATACAGAAACAGAAATCTGAAATTTACTGATTAAAGAAGACTCTAGAAATCCCCCTTTCAATATCAGAAACCAAACTGTTACCTTCCCCTCAAATTTCCTGTGATTTCTTTTTGAAAACCTACACATAAAAATTTGGTGGGGAGGGAATTATCTATTAACATCTGTCAGTCTTGAAACTTCAAAGAGGTGGTGAAAAACCCTAACAATAGCAAATCAGGCTGAAAGGAAGCTCTGGGATGTGGCTTTATCTAAACAGAAGCCACCCACACCCTCTCAGAGTTAACCCCGAGTTGCCCCTAGGAAAACCAGCAGCTGAGGGTATAGCAGGTACAAGTTAGCTTCTCCTTTACTCAGGGACCAGCAGGAAGTATTTCTTCCTGCCAACCCCCAATTACACATAGAAGAGTAAACTGAACACAAATTATATACTTCTCTGTGTGCCCAGAGTTTTATATAATATTTATATTTAATTGACAGAAAACCCTATGAGAGAGATACTGCTATTATTATAAACCCCATTCTGTACATTCTCAAACTCTGATTAGAGACGCCTGCTCTTAACCCCATGCCACACTGTTTCTAAACTTCACATCACTGGGAGCTAATTAAGAATGCCTTTATACAAGCTCTCAATTTGAGGAAGTGGTTGTCTTCACTTGGGGCTGGCCTAAGTGACTTCAGGCGTCCACTCAGTGATCCCGGGGCGTCCAAAGGGGCACATTTGGGTGTGTAGATTGCTCCCCTCGGTTCTTAACGAAGAATCAGAGTTGAGCAGTGTTCCTGCAACTGTGCATCTCTCTCCTGTCTGGGAATCAGAAGTCTTATACAGGAAGAACTTTAAGCCTTTTTGCTTTCTTCTTTCAGAACCCATCATCACAGGACACAGCATGTAGGGAACTCAAGAACATAATTGCTGAACTGCTGGTACTGAGGGAGGAGGCAGATGGGCCCCCCACCAGGATAAAGCAACTGGAAATTCATTCTCTACTGACTAAAACTCCAAGACAAGAATGGCAGGACAATTAAGGGAGAAGGCTGGGCCCTGCTCAGACCACATACTCCTCATTCCGGAAGTCAGGATACCTCCCCGACCACACATGCACAGAAACGCTCCCTGCAGGCCAAAGAGGGAGCAGTGTCATGGGATGCGCTACCCAGAGGCCTCTTTGGCAGGATCCATCTTGGCCAAGAGATGTTTGCGCACACTTGGGAGGATCCCGAGATATACAAAATATGGACTGTGAACCTAGCAAATCAAAATGACTGGCCAAAGGAAAACTGGAAAAAATGCCCCATATAAGTGATTTAAACTGCCGTGAGGAAGCGACTCGGGGACTCTCCCTCTGAGTCTGCCTGTGTGTCTATCCATACACACTGTACTCTTCTTCCTGCTAATAAAACACTCTACTTGCTTCACTACATTCAACTTTGTGGAAGTTCTTTTCTGCAGAGCTGAGAGGCCAGGGCCCTTGTCACTGACCACTGGCCTAGTGGCTAGGATCCAGTGCTTTCACAGCTGCAAACCAGCCCCAATCTCTGAATGGGAACCCAAGCCCCGCTCCAAGCTGTTGCAGGCCGAGGACACCCGAGATCAAAGATCAGTACTCTCCATGAACTATTTCTTGGACGCTCAAGTAACCAGTGCTCAGAACCTGAGGTTCACTTTACACTCCCTTGTTGCAACAAGGGACAAACAGTGACCACACAGAATTCAGGGGTTCCTACACCCTGGGGGTGTCTCCCAGGGGCACACAAATGTGGCTGTCAGCCTGGGCTCCAGAGACAGAATTCAGTGGGCCTGTAAACTTAAATGGGCAAAATGACACCTTTTTATTTTCTCTAATCTTTAACTAAAATTTCACATTTCCCAGCATGAGCCATACCATGACTTTGTCACCAAGAGAAACCACAGATATTTTTATGCTGTGTTAACGTTTCTTGCAGAGGCCTCAATGAATCCTTTATATTCAGCACTTAGCCATTTCAGTTTGTTCCATCTGATGCTAGATCTTGTTACTTAAACCGTTACTATAGAAGTAAAGATGACTATATCACAAATTTCTTAAATCATCTGTATGGTTTAATTGTATGACTCTATGTTGGATTTTCTCTGAATCCCTGTGTGTGCTGTTTTAGGCATTTAAAGACCTCACTGTGAAGAGATCCGCAGGCTGCGCTAGGCGTCCCAGCGTGCACGGCACACACAGCACCAGAGAGCTCTGGCGGAGCGAAGGCGGCGAGTGCTGGTCTTTCTGCCCGGGTTTCCTGGACGCCTCTGTTTCTGCAGGAACTGAGTAAGGGAGGAAATGGTGCCAACAAGCGATCCTGACCCTCCATGTATGCCCCATGGACAAGGGTAGATTCTGCCCTTGTGAGGGGAGCTTTGACGTGGAAAAGGATGGGAAACCCTCCTCTGAACTAAGTCTATGAAGAACCATGGAGATAACCAGCCCATCATGGGTTTTACTGAGCTGAGTCCTGGGTCCCTCACTGTGTCAGCAGCATCCAGCAGCCAAGTCAGGATCTGTTCACTGCCCGGTTC